TTTCATTTATTTGACTTTTAAGACATAGCTTCAAAACATAAGCAAACTTAGTTGTTCAGTGAACGTAATAGACCTACACCAAAGAATTCAAGTCATGGCTCAACAAGATCCATCAGTAGATAGCATTCTCCAAAGATTAAAGTGAGGACTGGGAGGTCTAAGGACATCCTTAAGATGCCAAAGTCCCCGATGTAATTCCTAGATTCCACAAGCCACTTTAGAACCCTTTTCTTTAACCCCTAGATCAGGTATATACATATGAATACTCTTTGTCATGTGTCTGTGACTTCAGAGGAAATGCTTATTCACAGTAAATATTAATTAACTAATAAATCAGAACTTCTACACCCTCTTTGTGGTTTAGTAAGAAGCTTAGAGGATGCACTTATAGAACTTTCCCCCAAGTTCTCATCTGAAAGCCATGCCTGGTTCTTACTGTGTTTTTATTTATGTACATTAGCCAGTATAAGTCATCTCTGAGAGAGCTAGGAGACAATTAAAGCAAAATGACATGCGGGATGTGTGCATAACCCTCAAAATAAGTCAGGTATAAGATAGGTTCTTGTTTTCCCACAGGTATACAATAAGCTCGCTCTCTTCCTCCCTCCCTCCCTGTCTCCCTCCCTCCCTGTCTCCCTCCCTCCCTCTCTCCTTCCTTCCTCACTTCCTTCCCATCTCCTAAAACCCATCTACTTTCCTTTCCACCTTCAACCTCAATCTTTCCCTTTTCTCCAGTTTTCACCCAACAACCCAAAAGGCCTTTTCAAAAAGCCAACCCTACTGAAGAGAGCCTTCCATGGCTCCCTACTGTCCTCAGTATTGAGAGCAAAAGCTTGGCGCAGCCTCGGGGCCTGTTGGCTCTTACCTTTTCCGGCTCTGTGCAGCATATTTTCCAGTTCCCAGGGCCCTTCACTATTCAGGCTCTAGGCCTTTGCACGATTCCCTGCTTTAGGCCTCTTGAATACCATGTTTTTACATACTGCTATGAATACACTGGTTGCATCTGGCTTTGGCTGGACTTCGTGGCTCGCATTACTGCAAACCCCATAGAAGGACAGGGCGGTCTGGCTCCCCTCTGTGACTCCAGAATGAGGCACAGAGCTGTTCACAGGACCGGGTGATTATGAATCAGCAATAAGTAGACTTCTACATGTTCCATGAGGAGTGCTGAGCGATCCCCGCAGTGGCCATAAGGGGCTATGTCTCATCCCATTCGGGACATCAGGCAATGAATGGATGCTGAGCGCTGGTTTGTCACCGCCACCAGGGTAATGTCCAGCAGTGACAGCAGTGTCTCTTTACTGCTCACCCTGCCAGGAAGCACGAATGTATCTCTTTTCTCGGTCATGTACAGAAGGGGGATTTCCAAGGGCCAGGTGACCATGGAGTAAGGTAAACGTAAAGAGGACGTTTTGGCTTGGTCATTACCAGGAGAGGTGTCTGCGAGGAGATCTCGGGAACATACGAGAAGACAGACATCAAGGGAAAGTTCCTCCACCGCAAACCCAGTGAGTGTGGGGACACACCACAGCCCTCTTCCCCCCTCGCCCCTCTCTGCCATCACAGCCTTCCCTCAAATGGTTGGCACTCCGCAGCCCTCCCGTTTAGCATGCCCAGAATAATGCCAAGGATGATGTCAGCGGCTCCTCACCCGCAGGCCTCATGCTTGGAGCTAACTGACAGAAGAATGTGAATTTACTCGGAGTTAGCAACTATGTGCCAAGTCAGGGTGCTCAAGATGAGCACTGAGTGTCTGACACTCAGCAGGGACACTGAGTGGATGGGCAACAATACGTAAATGAATGGGCGGGTGAATGACAGGTGAGCTGACTCACCTGAGAGACAGGGGGATGAAGAGATGGAGGGAGAAAAGAAGGAAGGGTAGACAGGAGAGAAGGAGAGGGGACGGGTGGGAAGGAAGAAAGGAAAACTGGGCATGGTGCTTTGTGCTTATATTCCCAGCAATGAGGTGGGGGAAGAAGGACCAGAAGTTCAAGGGCATCCTTGGCTACATAACAAGCTAAAAGGCCAGCCTGGGCTCAATAAGACTTTGATTAAAAAAATAAGAAACAGAGGAAGGAGGTAATTATATTAAATTATTTATTAAAAATAAAATTATTTATTAAAAAATAAAAAACAGGAATGGAAGGAGAGGTAATGGGGAGTGGGGGAGGGAGGAAGAAGGAAGAGGGTGCAAGTAAGAATGAGAGGGATGAAAAGAGGAAGGTGGGAAAGAGAGGGAAGGAGCAAGGGCGGGAGGCAGAAAAGGAGGAAAGGACAGTGCGTGGATGAGTGGAGGTGGGTGAGGCCATGTTGTCAAGCAGGTGGAGAGAGAGGCTGATGCTGGATGAACAGATGGTAAGACCCTGTCCATGTGGCTGTGGGGTGGATGTCCCTGGAGGGCCATGGCTGTGGGGTGGATGACCCTGTTCACGCGGCTGTGGGGTGGATGTCCCTGGAAGGCCACGGGGCTGTGGGGTGGATGTCCTTGGAGGGCCACGGCTGTGGGGTGGATGTCCCTGGAGGGCCACGGCTGTGGGGTGGATGTCCCTGGAGGGCCATGGCTGTGAGGTGGATGCAGCCATCCTGAGTGGAGGACAGGTGATGAGCCTCCAGGGTGAAGAACCTGACCACTGACTCCTTTGGTCTGCCTGCATCTCCCACACAGAATGGAACGTAACGATGGAATCCTATGTGGTACACACCAACTATGATGAGTATGCCATTTTCCTGACCAAAAAGTTCAGCCGCCACCATGGGCCCACCATCACTGCCAAACTCTATGGTAAAGGCCTTAACAAGGAACTTGTTGGAGCTGTGGGGGTGGGGGAAGGGAGTTTGCTTTTTCTTGGTGAGAGAACTCTGGTTAGGGAGGCACAAGGAGTCCTGGCCTTGAGGAAGAAGAGCTCAGCCTCCCTGGTGAGGTAGATTTCTCATTTCATCTCTAGAAGGGACTCCTGGGGTCGGGGGGACAGTTCAGTGGTTAAATCCCACGAGGCCAAATTGGCATTCATAGAACCAAAAATAAGTACCAGGTGGGCATGGTCAGCTGCCTGTAATTCCAGTCAACAGGGGACCCTCACACAAACTGGAAATCAGCAGTGTCTGTGGTTCTGAGTTTAACGGAGAGACCCTGACCCAATGAGTAAGTGGGAGAGCAATGGAGTGGATTTCCTTCTTCAACCCCTAGCTCTGCCTGCACAGCTGCCCACATAGACAAACACAGGTGCCCTCGCGAAATGCAAAGGGGCAGGAAGGAAGTGACTCCAAAGCCGCCAGGGCCCAGACAGAGCCAATAGGAAGAGCCCTGAACAAGGACGCAGGACCAATGGTGGCCAATCTCTCCCTGGGGGGCCATCTTTCAACAGTGTATCAAGGAGAATTAATGGCTTAACCCTTTCCACACCTTTCACTGGACACGGTCACCCTACCTGGCCAGCCAGGTGACTTGGGCTCTAGGCATTTCCCCTGCTTTCCATTCGCAGGCCGGGAGCCACAGCTGAGGGACAGCCTTCTGCAGGAGTTCAGGGAGGTGGCCCTGAGCATGGGCATCCCTGAGAACTCCATCGTTTTCATGGCTGACAGAGGTAAGTGGCATCTTGCCCCACTCTGAATTTTGAGCCTCTCATCTGTCCTGCCCCCAGAGGACATCCTTTGTCCCTGCATCTTTCCTGTAGCACCCAGAGGCAAACAAGGCCACAGAAACTCCTGGGTTTGCTCCAAGCCTCAGAACATGCACTAGCAGAGGCAGCATTTGACCAAGTCCATTCCTGTCCCAGGGGCACAAGTCTCCGTGAGGGTATCCACAGACATGGCTGAGGAAGCAGCAGAGCCTTGGTGCTGAGGGCACAGACTCCACAGTCAGATACCCACATTCGAGTTTAGCGGTTCAAGCACAGAGGTGTGGCTTCTGGCTAGCCTTCCTAGAGTGTTACTCTCCTCATCTGTCAATGGAGTCACACGCTGTGGGGGTCAGTGAGATAGAGCCGTTAGCAACTGCAGCATGGCACCTGGGAAGTGCTCTGTAGATGCCACTGCTGCTGACCTCCTGAGGATACTGACGGGATGAAGCTCAGATGACCCAAGCTGTAGACTGTCCCATCAGTGGCTTTGAGTGATGCGAGGAGGGCCCTCCGCCAAGCGCTCTAAAGCACAGGACACAATGCTCACCTGTACCAAACAGAAATCTGGGTCTAGGATCTCCTGGGTCTGCCCTCCTAACCTGGGCCTCTTGTGCACTCTTCTTTTGTGTCCTTGCCTAGGGGAATGTGTCCCTGGGGATCTGGAGCAGGTGACCACATCACCTCTGGTAAGTATTTCTTCCACCCTTCCTCAGCAGTCATGCCCCAGCCGGCTGGGGTTTAAGAACTAGCCAGCAACATCAGTTTCTTGGACACAGGAGCAGAGACAATGCCAATGTCTCTGTAGGTGATGAGCAGGGCTGAAGCACACAAGAACAGAGCCCCAGAAGCCTGGTGCCTTGTATGGGACTGTGGAATTTGCCAGTATTTTTTTCCCAGTAGCCTCTCACACTGGGACAGTAGAAGGTTTGAACAAGATCTTGGTTTCTTGGATGATAGTGGCTGCCTCTTTGGAGCACTAAACATCTAGACTAACATGGCCATTTAAGTCCCCAGTGGTGACAGAAACACTGAACCTGGTCCAACGGCCAGCCCAAGTCTGCTTCTGCACTGTTAAGATCTTTAAAACCTCATCCTTAAGGAATGTCCCCAGGAAAAATTAAATAATTTATCTCCAGTAAGGGCAGAAAGAACAGGGAGATCGCCTCCAGGGATTTGACCTTCACATCTTTGCCCAGGTGACCCACAAAGATCCTTGTCTTCAGCTTTGCCTCCAGAGAGGACCACCTACACAGTGTATAGGCAATTGAAACTCTTTATTCCAGCCAGATGGGATCACACCCATAAGGACCTGGGTGTGGCCTTGAGTGTCCTGAACACAGGTTTTTAAAAGGCTGAAACAATGTCCTCACATCTCACTCTGCAGCTGCTAGGGGGTGGGGGATGACTTCTTGTAACATGACGGCCAGCTTGTTGGGGTTTCTGTCCTGTCTAGTTCCCAAAGTCGTTAGGTCCCAAAGAATCACACAGAAATTCTATATAAGATTATAAACTGATTGGCCCATTAGCTCAGGCTTCGTATTAGCTCTTATAACGTATATTAGCCCACTATTCTTATCTATGTTAGCCACATGGCTCAGTACCTTTTTCAGCAGGGCAGGTCACATTCTGCTTCTTCTGTGGTCTGGGCAGAACTGTGGAAAGAACTTCCTTCTTCCCAGAATACTCTTATTCTCATTGTCCCACCTCTACTTCCTGTCTGGTTTTCCCACCTATACTTGCTGCTTGGCTATCAGCCAATCAGTGTTTATTTTAAACATAATCGACAGATATAGAATTGTTCTCCTGCACCAACTTCTCAGAAATAAGTTGTTTGAAGCAAGCAGTTTTAACCAAAGCTAAGTTAGCTAGAACATCCCAGCTTTTGGTTCCTCCACGGAAGATACTACAGCCTCTTTACAATTACATGTTACTCCTGGCATTTAAATTTCCTTTTTTTTTTGGTGGAAATGTTTCTATAACAAACATATATTCCCCCCCCCCCCCCGCAGGCCAACCACATGAGCCATATTTCTGGCTCCTTGTTGTCTTAGGGTTTCTATTGCTGTGATGAAGCACCATCACCAAAAGCAACTCAGGGAGGGGTTTATTTGCTTTCTCTTCCACAGCACTGTTCATCACTGACGGAAGTCAAGAAGGAACTAAACAGGGCAGGAACCTAGAGGCAAGACATGATGCAATGATGCAGAGGCCATGGAGGGTGCTGCTTACTGGCTTGTTCTTTATAGCTAGCTTACAGAAGCCTGGGAGTGCCAGCCACAATGGGGTGGGCCTTCCCGTATCAATCTCTAGTTATGAAAATGCTCTCCCGGCTTACCTACAATCTGATTTTATAAAGGCATTTTCTCAGCCGCGGTTCTTTCCTCTCAGATGACTCTAGCTTGTGTCAAGTTGATATAAAAACTAGCCAGCACACTTGCCCAGCTGAGACTGTGCTTCTGTGAGTCTACCATGGTCAACAGCTTGGGTGAGGGAGAATTACTGCATTGCAAGCTTCTCCATGGCCTTCATGTTTTGTCTTGAGTTTCTGTGTTTAAATCCTGTCATTTACCTCAAGGGCCACCAGCCTCCTTGTCCTTCTTTTCTGAAATGTCTATAAGTCCTTTTAGTTTTGGAGTCTTTTGTTTGTTTTAAATTTTGATGATTTCCTTTCCCCTCATGATTGGGCAACCCAAATCTTCCTTCAACTCAGAAAAGTTTTTTTTTTCTATAATTTCTACCCTATTTGTCTTCCTTCCATAACACCTAGGATGCGGATTTATTTCCTGCAATATCTAAATAGCACTTTATTAGCTCAACTATGAGGTTAGACCCGACATCTTTTCTGAGTCTGAAGGTTTCCATCACCAGTGGCGGCTGTTACATTAGTGGGGATCACCGTGAATTTTACTGGTGACCTAATCTTTTTTTCATGTTTCTTGCTCTCATCCTTGTTAAGTGAAAATCGTCTTTAAATTTAATCCAGTCCCTCTGAGCAGCTGTTATCTAGCTTGTCTCTTTTCTGTTCATCTTTTACCACTATGGAAGGCCTGTTTGCCACCAGGTTAAAGTGGATCTGGAAGAGAACAGGGCCCCCAAGTTCTCAGTTGCCTTTCCAAAGAAGAAACAATCTAAGAGCACCATAGTTCTGCCTGTTCAAGTCTTAGACCACTCGTGAGCAGAAAGGCTGCCTAGTGACCAGCAGTCTCCCTACCCATCCCTTTTGAGTCTGCCTCAGGACCCTCCACAGCAGACACCCTCTTGAGCACGGCACCCTGGGAAGCCCCTTCTGGAATTTAGATTGATACTGGGGCTAACATTTCATTAGGCACTCTAGTCTGTTTACACAACTCCACTGGTTCAGGGGCAATGCACCGAGATCTCTATAAAGCTATTTTCCCCTCTTTCTAGAGAGCCCGGAGGGCAGTGCTGCCCCAAGAAAATGAGGGATCAGGGGCTGGGCCACTGGTAACTGAGGTCCTCAAGAAAGAAGGTAAGGACTCCCATCTGTTCACCTGCTTCAGCCTTGATGTAAAAGAAATAGCCAGTGGCTGCCTCACCCTCGCTGCCTCAGCACTAGGAGGCCTATCTCTGTGCTAGAGTTGATGGCTGGCCCAGGTACAGCAGATGAAGTTCTGTACCCTATGGGCTAGAGAGGGGCAGTAGATATGGTCCCAGGTACAGGGGAGCTCTGCTCTGCCAGGAGGATTGGATTTCTGCCTGTCTGTATGCTCACCAAGCCTTGGAGTTCCTGCTATGTAATGGCATACTCCTCTCCTGAGCTAGGCTCTTGAGTTAGGGCTCTTGAATAAGTAATGCAGAAGGACATGAGGATGCTTGGTGTGGATGACAGTTCATTTAACTTGCTCAGCAGATGCCACATCTGCCCCATCCTAGGTCTTGTGGTGGGCATACAGACTTGGGGTGTTCTTGGCTCTTTGTGCTTTAGTGCGGAGACTTCCAAGGGAGCAAAAGATGGGTCCAATGGAGAGCATCATCAAGGGGCCAGTGACCCTAAGAAGAGAGAGTTGAGGTGAGGAAA